GCCTCAGCCTCCCGAGTAGCTGGGATTACAGGTGCCCGCCACCACGCCCGGCTCATTTTTTTTATTTTTAGTACAGACGGGGTTTCACCATGTTGGCCAGGCCGGTCTCGAACTCCCGACCACTGCTGATCCGCCCGCCTCGGCCTCCCAAAGTGCTGGGATGACAGGCATGAGCCGCCGCGCCCGGCTCTGGTATGCAGCTCTCTAAAGCCATCACGGGCAGCCATTCTCACCAAGAGCCACCCCCAGCTCCAGGTCGGCCTGCAGGAGGGCTGGGATCTGCTGTTGTTCAAAACTCCACCTGCTGCCGGGGTCACGGCAGCAGCCACACCCAGGGTACCACGTAAGCAAATGCAGGGGGAGGGTGAGGATCTCCGGGCCCTGGGCGACACCTGTGGCCGTCCACCTCCCTCGTCACTCACCCCGCGGGGACACAGCATGTCCCCAAAGATGGTCTTGATGCAGGAGATCAGGTACTCGTGCAGGTCCTCGGTCAGCCCCTCGAAGTTCCTGCAGGCCAGGATGACGACCTCATGAGGGTGCTGCTCCAGCCACTCTGAGATCTCCGTGAGCGTGTCCTGGGGGTACGGACGGGGCGGGGCGGAGTCCGGCATGAGTCCCACAGCACAGGGAAGGCCGGGCTCCATGGCTCACACCCGTCAACCCCGCGCTTTGGGAGGCCGAGGCGGGCGGATCACCTGAGGTCAGGAGTTCGAGACCGACCTGGCCAACCTGGTGAAACCCCGTCTATTCTAAAAACACACACAAAAATTAGCTGGGTGTGGTGGTGCACACCTGTAATCCCAGCTACTTGTGAGGCTGAGGCAAGAGAACTGCTTGAACCTGGGAGGCGGAGGCTGCAGCCAGCCACGTGGGCCAGGCGTGGTGGCTCAGATGTCATCCCAGCACTTCAGGAGGCCGAGTAGGGACAGATCACCCGAGGTCAGGAGTTCAAGACCAGCCTGGTCAACACAGCGAAACCCCGTCTCTACTAAAAATATGAAAGTTAGCCGGGCGTGGTGGTATGCACCTGTAACCCCAGCTACTCGGGAGGCTGAGGCAGGAGAATCGCTTGAACCCGGGAGGCGGAGGCTGCAGTGAGCTGAGATCACACCGCTGCACTCCAGCCTGGGCAAAAGAGCAAAACTCTGTCTCAAAATAAGAGAAGGGATGAGGCCAGAGGATTGGCTCCAGCCTGGGCACCATGGCTACAAAAAATAAGAATTAAAGAATTAGGGGCCGGGTGTGGTGGCTTGGGTGACAGACTGACACTCTCTCTCAAAAAAAAAAAAAAAAGCAGGACGGGCGCGGTGGCTCATGCCTGTCATCCCAGCACTGTGGGAGGCCGAGGCGGGCGGATCACCTGAGGTCAGGAGTTCAAGAGCAGCCTGGCCAACACGGTGAAACCCTGTCTCTACTAAAAATACGAAAATTAGCCGGGCGTGGCGGCGGGCGCCTGTCATCGCAGCTACTCGGGAGGCTGAGGCAGGAGAATCGTTTGAACCCGGGAGGGTGGAGGTTGCAGTGAGCCGAGATCACGCCACTGCACTGCAGCCTGGGGGGACAGAGCGAGACTCTGTCTGAATATAAAATAAAATAAAATAAAATAAAATAAAATA